TAGGATTTTTGCCCTCAGCGGCAGCGCCCTGCCCGCGCCCCTGGAGGCCACCTCGGGAAAGGTGGGGACAAACGGGAACTCCTGGGAAATTGAGGGGGGTTGGGAGGAATTTTAGAGAATTTTTTAGGATTTTTTGGGGATTTTTTTGGGATTTTTTTGGGATTTTTTTAGGGTTTTTTTAGGATTTTTTTAGGATTTTTTTGGGATTTTTTGAGATTTTTTTTAGGGTTTTTTATGATTTTTTTTAGGACTTTTTTAGGATTTTTTGGGATTTTTTGAGATTTTTTTAGGTTTTTTTTAGGATTTTTAAGAGATTTTTTTAGGGTTTTTTTGGGGTTTTTTGAAATTTTTTTAGGATTTTTTTAGGATTTTTTTAGGATTTTTTGGGAATTTTTTGAGATTTTTTTAGGATTTTTTTAGAATTTTTTGGGGATTTTTTGAGATTTTTTTAGGATTTTTTTAGGATTTTTAAGAGATTTTTTTAGGGTTTTTTTAGGATTTTTTTAGGATTTTTTTGAGATTTTTTTAGAATTTTTTTAGAATTTTTTTGGGATTTTTTGAGATTTTTTTAGGTTTTTTTTAGGATTTTTTGGGGATTTTTTTAGGATTTTTTTAGGATTTTTTGAGATTTTTTTAGGATTTTTGAGAGATTTTTTTAGGATTTTTTGGGGATTTTTTGAGATTTTTTTAGGATTTTTTTAGGGTTTCTTTAGGATTTTTTTAGGGTTTTTTTAGGATTTTTTTAGGATTTTTTAGGGGTTTTTTTAGGATTTTTTTAGGATTTTTTGGGGACTTTTTGAGATTTTTTAAGGATTTTTTTAGGATTTTTTTTGGATTTTTTAGGGATTTTTTTAGGATTTTTTTGGGATTTTTTGAGATTTTTTTAGGATTTTTTGGGGATTTTTTGAGATTTTTTTAGGATTTTTTTTAGGATTTTTTTAGGAATTTTTTAGGATTTTTAGGGATTTTTTTTGGATTTTTTTAAGATTTTTATATTATAGATAATGTTAAATGTATGTTAAAATATATTATATTATATTATATTATATTATATTATATTATATTATATTATATTATATTATATTATATTATATTATATTATATTATATTATATTATATTATATTATGTTAGATTAGATTATATTGTGTTACATTATATTGCACTACATTACATTAATTATATTAGATTAGATTAGATTATATTATATTATAGTTTATATTATATTATATTAGATTAGATTAGATTAGATTATACAATATTATATTATATTATATTATATTATATTACATTATATTATATTATATTAGATATTAGATTAGATTATATTAGATTATGTTATGTGATGTTATGTTACATTAGATTAGATTAGATTATATTAGATTATGTTATGTGATGTTATATTAGATTAGATTAGATTAGATTAGATTAGATTAGATTATGTTATGTGATGTTATATTCTATTAGATTAGATTAGATTATATTATATTAGATTATATTATATTATGTTATGTGATGTTATATTGTATTATATTAGATTGGATTAGATTAGATTAGATTCTCTTATGTGATGTTATATTATATTAGATTAAATTATATTAGATTATGTTATGTGATGTGATGTTATATTAGATTAAATTATATTAGATGATATTAGATTATATTAGATTATGTTATGTGATGTTATATTATATCAGATTAGATTATATTAGATTATATTAGATTATGTTATGTGATGTTGTATTAGATTAGATTAGATTAGATTAGATTATGTTGTGTGATGTTATATTATATTAGATTAGATTAGATTAAATTAGATTAGATTAGATTATGTTATGTGATGTTATATTAGATTAGATTAGATTATATTAGATTATGTTATGTGATGTTATATTACATTATATTAGATTATATTAGATTAGATTAGATTATATTAGATAATGTTATGTGATGTTAATTAGATTAGATTAGATTACAGTTCAATTAATATTACATTCTAATTAATATTAAATTATCATTGACCCCCAAACAACATTCAATCACATAACATAATCTAATATAATTTAATCTAATATAATAT